TTAACCATTTGCTGTTTATCATAGTATATCCTTTCTTGGATGCTTCTTTCCTCCTTTTAATAATTTATTTATATAGTTCTCAATCGCCGTGTTTACTTTTAACAATATGTTTGTTGAGATTTCTTGAATCCGAGAGTATGACGTGAAATTCTTTTGATAATTTATTTCATGATCAATTCTCTCCTGATATTCAGCATTGATTAATTGTAGATTCTCCTATTCAATTGCTTAGATGTGAGAAATCCCCATATTTTGCTTCCACGACTGGTGAATACATGTGCTTCTTCAGGTATTCCTACTTCAAAGCGCCTCATATTTTGCTATTTTCACCTTCTAAAAAAAGCTATCTTATGTGTGACTTGTGACTTTACCTTGTTTTTCTTACATATAAAAGCTGTGACTGGATTTAAAACTAAATTAGACAGTACATTGAACCTTCTAGCATATCAGTTGAGTTCTTAACATGGCGTGCAAATGTGTTTCCAATATATTTTATGTGAAATACTGCATCATGTTTAGATAATCTGCTAAAAGAAAAAAAGTTGAAAAAAGAGAATGGTGTCTAAGTCTTTCTACATATTTTATTGCTTCACTATCTTTGAATTTATTTGTGTATGGATGCTTATGAATTGCATTGCACTAATGCAATCACTTTTTTTTGAGCCTTGATTAGGTGTTCATTTCTCAAGAGCACTTTTTGTCCCAAATATGTCAAAATATAGTAAGGTTGTTTCTGGTGCATCAGTTATTTCTTCTGATCTCCATGGCATAGATCTTTCATGGCAAATTAACCTCCAAAGAATTTGGGAGAAGATTACACACGGGAAAGGTATGCTTTGTCTTTTCAGCTTGTGACATGTTTGTTGTCTATTGGGAATTCACAGTGATGTTGGTCATATTGTCTTTCTTACAGCTTCAAGGGTAAATAACACTCTCAGATATCAATGTTTTAGAATGAAATGAAATTTTATTGGTAAAATACCTAATAGCAACTCTAGCATTATTATAGTAGAACAGACAGTGGCAAAAGTTTACAAGAATAACTGAATGAACTCACATGTATTCAAGAGCCTGGTCTGGCCCACCCATAGGCCATGTTCACCAACTAACTTCCTCTATCATCTGCTGCCTCCATTTATAACAGTCTAACTTTTACCTATTCTAACAGATTATAAAGCCTACTCTCAACTGTGAAGTTCTAACTAACAGCTCAACCCTAACGTTAATTTTTTCATTATCTTTTTCTTTTGCTGTGGAATGGGGTAACCTATGTGGATTATAAGTTTACTTCACATAAAAGTAAAGCTTTAACTGCTTCATCATGCATCTAGATGTCCTTATTATCTTGTAAACAACGTGGAAAATATTTCTAGTGGAAATTCAACCAAAAGATGAGAGAAGACAATGCTTTAGATGTTTGTGGAGCTGAATTGAAGTTTTAAAATTGAACATCAAGTGCTATAAAGTTCTTCTAAAATATTAGTTGTTCGTGGATAATGGTAAATGTAATGAGTAATGATAGAAAATTGCCTGATGAAATTAGTCAGACAGCCCATCATGCTAAGATGTTGGCTTAGAGGACAAAGCTTGAATTTTCTGACCTGAGAATTATTTTGTGCATCTGCAGAAATAACCGTGCCAATTGAAAAGGAATTCAAGATAGATAGCAAGGAGATCGTACCACCTCCCGAGTTTCTTAACGATAATGCTCCGAGTGGTGGTCACTCTCATAACTGTTTTGCGAGCAGTGCAGTAATACCTTCATTACCATTGGCAATCAAATGGCTGCAGGATTGTGTCAAAGAGCACCCTTCTACAAGACTTCAGGTAACAAAGACGTGGATGGTACTTGGTTCTTATAATCACTTGGCTAATGGAGGAATACTCATTAGTTGGTGTTAAATCTCAACTTTTATTTGATCAGGAAGTTAAATTCCATTGACAATCAAACTTTACTCCACCTTTTTCTCTCCCTTTCTTCAGAGGTGTCTCATTTGTGTATGACACCTCGTCTTGTTCAACCACCATGTCCTGAAAGTCAACTTTTTTAAAATAGGATAGAATTAAAAAAAATTAATTAATTTTTTTTTCCTTGCCTTATCCATTTCACCATTAATGGTGATGTTGAAACCCAGTGATGTAGTATTCTGGTAAACCACTGGTTCCTATAATCTGTCTTTGGAAGACGGAGAATGGTGCTTCCTTTTACCTTTTTTTCTCCTTATGGAACAGAAAAAAAAGTGATGCTCCCAATCTTTCCAGTCACGTACCTATAATACTAC